GAAGAGCCAGCACTGTCTGAAGACGTTTGCGTGGTCATGTGGCCAGCATGACTAAACGCCAAAGGTGCACAGAACGCTATTACCTTCCCACCAAAGACGTCTCCGTGGTCATGTGGCTGGCATGACTAAACACTGAAGGCGCACAGAATGCTGTTACCTTCCCACCAAAGGTGGTTCCTATTTTTCTACTTGCATTTTTGCATGCTTTAGGAACGGCTAGGTTAGCAGAAGCTGGAACTAATAATGGGAGCTCACTCAGTTATGCCGAACTGCTGACCTTTCTGATCGACAAGCTCAGCGTCTTAGCCACTGAGCCACCCGTGGAATGATAAAGGAACTGAAAAACCATTTCAGAATGGAAAGGCTGCAGCATTACAGTTGGATGAAAATTTTTGTTTATTTATTGATTGGATTTTTCAAGGCTGCCTGACTCTGAAAAGACAATGGGCAATTGCAGTATTTTAAATATATTATTGTAAAAATACAGTTTAAAAAACCTATGTGTCCAAATTAAGCAGGACAAGATACAAAAGTCTGCAAGCAACATCAAATTATTCAGAGTCTTGTATGCGCATAAAGATAATGGATGGTGTTGATCTTTCTCTCTCCTAAATAGTCATCCAGGGAAAAGGCCTGAAGCTTCAAGGCCAACCAAACTGAATTAAACTCCTATTTCATAGATACGCTTACAACAAAATATCAGAAGAAAAGTGTAATTGTAAGGCCGGGAATAGCAAATGTCTTCTTATTTATCTTTGCAAGCCACTAAGGGAGCTTTTTGGAGATTGAAGCCTGAAATATAAATGCTGAAAAAATAACCCCGGTATCTCAAAATAGTGTGTCAAATTAAATTGCTTTGCTAATCTACTGGCAATGTTAATTACTACTAGAAGAATTAAAAGTCTATTAACTTTTGAATTGATATATTTTGCAGTTCAGAATAAATGTGACTTACTAATTTGGCCTTTGGCTTTTATAGAAAGATAAACATAATGTTTTTTATTATAGAAATGATCTCATGGATGTACTGTTTTCTTTTAGATTTAGGCAAGTTGTAATTCACACTAAAAACACCAGTTATATGGAACATCAGAGTGAGACTGAATAAACCACTTCTGTCTTCCCGAAACAGTAACACAACCTCTCGCAATCCAGCTTGAGACATTGCCCTTAAATATCTATGCTGGAGTAGTGACTAGATTCTGGGAAATCCAAGATCTATGACAAGAGTATCTCCATTTTGGCAACTTTAAGATGCGTGAACTTCAACTCCCAGAATTCCCCAGAGGAGGAATCCAAATTAACGTAGCCCCTGGTCCTGTCGACTTTATGAAGCTTTCCCCAGCTCATGATGCTGCTAAAAGCCCAGGTGACTCTTTAGTCAATGGAAGGTGTGGATCAGGGGTCAGCAACCAGCGGCTGTGGAGCCGCAGGTGGCTCTTTCATCCCTCTGCTGTGGCTCCCTGTTGCCGGTCAACGCCACAATTTTGAGAGCTTCCGGTTAGGGGGGAAAAGCACAGCATACCAGGAGGAGACTCTATGGCAAGGGTCGGCTCCACAATTGACGGGGCTTTTGGTTAGGACAGGTAGAGGAAAAAGGATGCCACACTAGGAGGAGACTCTATGGTGGGGGAACCGGACTTCCGGTCGGCTCCAGAATTGAACGGGGGCTTCCGGTTAGGACCTTTGTGGCTCTTTGAGTGTTTAAGATTGCTGACCGCTGGTGTGGATCATGGCAGTAAGTAAAGTATGTTGCAGGACTCACATATGAATTACTCTTCATGGGAAAACATACTATGATTGAAACAGCCTTTAGTAATGGACAAAAACATACCTTCCAACATGGATCCTCATTGGCTGGCATTGTGAGGAAGGGATAACAGAGATTAGTAGCAGCGAGGTTAGATTTGCAGATTAATGGATGGCAGCTAAATGATGGTCCAAATGTATCATACATGGTTGCAATCGATACAAAGGGATTTACAATCAACTCTACCTGAATTTTCTTTGATTTTCATTTTCCCATACTTAACAGTGTTTTTATCCAATTTAGCAACTTTAAGATGTGTGGACTTCAACTTCCAGAATTCCTCAGTCAGCATGAGAAAAACCTGATATACAATCTCAATATATTCCCCATTTTTGTATCATTCCTGTTTTGGAACCATGGCAATTATACTGAGTGACCATCCCTAAAAATAACAGGTATAGGTTGATCAGCTAGGATTATGAAAGATAGCAATAGCATTTAGACTTATATACCACTTCACAGTGCTTTACAGCCTTTCTAAGCAGTTTACAGAGTCAGCATATTGCCCCCAACAATCTGGGTCCTCATTTTACCGACCTTGGAAGGATGGAAAGATGGGTCAACTTTGAGCCAATCAGAATCGAACTGCTGGCAGTTGGCAGAATTAGCCTGCAATACTGCATTCTAACCACTGCTCCACCAAGATCAGAGAGCATTGTTTTTCCCCCAAAAATCTTAGTAGAGGAAATGAGAAATGTGGCAATATATAAAATAAGATATATAAAATCTCCTGAAACACTACAGGAAAAAGCAACCCATCCTGGAAGCATTGTCCGTGTTAGGCACAAGATTAGTTCCACTTGAATAACACCAAAGTTAGAGTTACACCTTCCAAAAATTGAGGGTAACAACAAAGAATTGAAGATTTGATGGTAATAAAAACAACAACTGTGCATTTTATCTGTGATACAATCTTGAGTACAGACTTTAGTAACTGCTTCATTTAGCAAGAGTTCAAAGTTAGGATAGTGATGGAAAAAATAACCAATCCTCACATTTATGACTTTCACAGATAAGCAAAGTTGAAGTGAGTTTGTAAGCACAATTGTGGGTTCACTTAGCGACCACTTTGCTTAATAACCAAGTGGATCATCCCAATTGTGGTCACTAAGCAAGGATTACCTGTGCTAGGGTTCTGTTTTCTTTCTAAATTTGAGGGTTTGTCTTTTTTGCTTTTGCTAAAAAAATTCATAACTTTCTACTAGAAGTAAAAATTACAGTTTCTAGCACAATTGCAATACAGCTACCGTGTTCCCCCCAAAATAAGACAAGGTCTTATTTTCTTTTGACCCCCGAAATAAGTGCTTGGCCTTTTTTTCAAGGAAGTCTTATCATTTTTGAGGTGCAGGAGGCAGTGAGCGTGGTCACCTCATGGCTACTGCTGTGTTGCAATATTTTCAGGGAGGGCTTGTTTTCGGGGGAGGGCTTATTTTAGCGCATGCGCTCCAAAGCCTGATTGGGCTTATTATCCAGAGAGGTCTTATTTTCAGGGAAACGGTAGGTATTATTAACGTTTTGATGTCTACAACACAAACACCCTAACAAGAAATTACAATACTTATTCAAACAATGTTATTAGAATAAAACAAGAGCTACTAGATCTTCCAAAAACATTTTTAAGATTACTAACTTTTGCTACAATTTTACACATTTGGGGATCAAGTGTCAGATATACAACAACGCAACTACTATTCCCAAGTAAAATTTCTGTAACAAGCACTTCAAATCTATTTTCTCTTGTTCCAAGTTCGTAGTTTCTGCCAGATTTCGACCTTTCTGAAATCTAAGGGCGCATGGGTTACAAGCAGAAGAGACTAGAATTGACAAGAACTGTTTTATTCATGTGTTTGGAGTGCTGATCTTCCATTCAATAACTTACCTCTTGTGGAGAGGAAAAAAGGGTTGTTCAAATAATTTGATGCAAGGCGTTTCCGCTGAAAAAGAAGAAAACGTCCACATATTTATATGAATGGCAGTTCTTGCATTGACTTCTGAAAAATCCAAGTAGAAGTTTCTTCTAAGAAATTTAACCCAAAACTTAAATGCATAGTACATTAATATGTGTACGTTTGTGAAAACAACATGAATGTTTGAGATGTATTGTATTCTTTTTCGCTTTTGTTGATTCATTTGAATCAACATGTGAGCAATACTCCTCTGTTGTGGTTGTGCAGTGACAGTAACTGGGTTTAATTTCTTTTGGGAATGACTCATAGCCCCTCAGGGGACTTATTCTTCTTGAGATGCTGTAGGATATGGGTGTCAAACTTGCAGCCTGTGGGCTGGATGCATTGCGGTGGGATCTTTCCAGTTTAACAACTGGTTCGATGACGCACGATTTGCTACATGTGTGTGCACAGTTTGAGGAAATCTTCACTTCTGAGGTTCTTTGGAGGAGTAACACTCTACTCCACAAATCAGCTGAGAAGATAAAGGTAGGAAATAACATGGGTGGGCCCATCTGATCATCAAGGCAAACCGGTTCACTCCCAGCTGATTGTCGGAGCTACCCATTCGGCTGAACCAGTCCTAACCAGTAAAATCCCACCTCCGGTTCAGGCCACATGCACCCAGCTCCGCAAAGGGAAAAACATTGCAATACATCACATGAGGCAGCATGTTTGACACCTGTGCTGCAAGACCTTTAATTCAGTTGGGAATATCAATTTCCACAGGATGGAAATTGGTGAAGAGAGACAACGGGAGTGGGACTAGGATCATGACATCATGTTTGCCATCTTGCCCATTCTGGCCCTTCCCCAGAGATACTTTGATAGAAAATGTCTCCAAAATTCATTCCCTCAAGGGTCAGGATCCCAGATTTTGGACACGTTCTTTAAATTTAGCTCATTTGAGGCACCTTGGTTTAAAAACTGTTGCCCTATAGTGGATCCTTTCGCCCAGTTAAAGATAATGACAAAGAGAGTTTTAGTAGCAGAAAGATTCCTGTATTGTTTTTATCCTAATCAAAAACATTGCTTCCCTTTCAATAAAATGTAAGTACATTTTTTAAAAAAAATATATCTTTTTTTTCTATTAGTTGACAAATTTAGCCTGACTTTAAATTTATTCATGCCCTAATTGCTTGTGTTCTAATTGCAAGAACTGAAATGAAATCTGATGAATCTAAAACCATAAATTTACTTTAATTGGTTTCCTGTTTTAGGAATGACCCCGTTGTCTAAATCTTTTAAATAATGTAGTCCTTCTTTTCATTTCCTAATGGTGGGTACTGTCTAATTTTACTTTCATATTAAAAGGAATGATGAAATAAAAGGGCTAACTAAAGGATGATGGGGTGAAGTTGATATAGAAGCCCGTTTTTAATTTTTTTTTGAAATTTTGAAGAAACAAGACTTTGAATATGTTACAGGTTTTTATGAATGTTTTGGGGAAAATGAAGTCCCCTCATTTTTGCTACTGGCATACTTCTAGATTCTTTGTTTAACGAAAGTGTTAATTCTTTTGACTTTATCAAGCAAAAATATTGTTACCACATTGTTCAGAGTATAAGACATACTCCCCCCCCCAAAAAAAAGCAGGTGAAAATTTGGGTGCCGAATATAGTTCCACCAACCTGCCAGCCCCCATCCTTTGGTCTGGGCCTCCCAGCAATTTGCCTCCTTGCAGCAAACAGAAAACAGTCTCTTTTCGTTTCAGCACAGCCTGATTAGCACAAGCAGCTGATTGTTGGTTGGATCAGGCTCTCAACCATCCACTGTTTCAGGCTGCAGGGATTGCCATTGCCTATTGCTGCTTCCACACGCCCCATTTTCAGCCTCCACATCCCATTTTTGGCCTCTGTGCACCCCGCTTTTGGCCTCTGTGCACCCCATTTTCTGCCCATTCCGATCCCTCCCACCCAAAATGGGCGGAAAATGGGGTGTGCGGAGGCCGAAAATGGGGCATGTGGAGACGGCAATAGGCTATGGCAATCCCTGCAGCCTGAAACAGCTGATCATCGGGAGGCCCCAGAATCAGCTGCTTGGGCTAATCAGGCTCTACTGAAACTAAAACGGGCTGTTTGCTGAGAGGCAAATTGCTAGGAGGCACAGGCAAAAATTTTTTCTTGTTTTCCTCCCCAAAACCTAGGTGCATTTTATATTTCAGAACATCTTATACTCCGAAACATACGGTAATCGTAGCAAGAGTTAATATTTTGAATTTCAAGGTCTCCTTCAGTGGTATTTTTATAAATAATTTTTAATTTATTCTTGTGTTTTAATATTTATTTTTAATTTATTCTTCAAATTTTTGATGCCCATCTTTTATGGCTCAGAGACTCCTACTAATAATTTCTTGATATGATTTTTCAGTTGTATTTACTCAATGTTTGTTTGGAAGAGATATAGGAATAGAAGGAGGCACTTTTACTTCTTTCATTTACTTAATTGAGTAATGCTTTATGTTCAGTTCAAATAATCTGCCATTTTGAGCAGGTCTCCCTGAATGGGTGTTGGATCACGATATTAACAGTCTGGTCCAGTAACTTTTTCCAATTATAGAGCAAGAACCGTGGGCGGGGGGGGAAAGCAATTTCAAATTAAGCAATTAGCTATTAAGAATTGCCTACAAGATCAAATTGTAAGTTAAA